AACATCATGCTGGGTAGAGTAGAGGGACAGTGCAGGAGGGGAAGACCCTCTATGAGGTGGATTGATTCAGTGACTGGGGTAATCGGGATGGGTGTTCAGAGGTAATGCGATTGGCACAGGATAGAGCAGGGTTTAGGGCTGTTGTACATGGGGTCGCTATGAGTCACAAAGGACTTGACGGCACATAACAACAACAACAATGCATGCAATTAACAACTTGGAGCAGGAAGTGCATTACAAACTGAACCCAGGGAGGGAAAAAGAAAGGGGAGAGATGAAAATGTACATTAATGAAGGAATGAAAACCAGCCTTTCTGTAAACTATCATTAAAATCACAATGCAACTAAGATTAAAAGAGAAGTGGCAGACTTTGTAGGGATGGGCAGGGCTCGTGGTGTCGCCCTCTTGCATGCAGAGTTGCTGTGAGGCAGAAATTACCAGTCACGTAGCAGGAACACATTTAACAGAGCTCAGAAAGGTTATGTCATTTTTTTCAAGATGATGCATTTTTGAACTAGAAAATCTGAGGTCCAAGTCTAAGTTCTTTGTATGATTTACTGTTCTTTCAATTTTTATTATGAGCTATTAAAGGCATAATTTTGTTTTGCTTAATTGTCTGACTACTGAAGATTATAAAAAAAATGACTGGAACAGCACATTGGCAGAGAACTGCCAGAAGTCCAGGGTTTAGAAGGGGTCGTGGTACTAGGGATATTGTAGCTGATGTTAGATGGATCTTGGCTGAAAGCAGAGAATACCAGAGGAATGTCTATCTGTGTTTCATTGATTATGCAAAGGCATTTGACTGTGTGGATCATGACAAACTGTGGCTGACTCTGAGAAGAATGGGAATCCCAGAACTCTTGATCATTCTAATGCGAAACCTATACTTGGACCAAGAGGCAGTTGTCAGAACAGAGCATGGGAACACTGCATGATTCAACATTGGGAAGGGTGTACTCCAGGAATGTGTCCTATCTCCATACCTTTTCAACCTGTATGCAGAGCAGATTATCCGGGAGGCTGGGCTCTTTGAGGAGAAGTGTGGCGTCAGGATTGGTGGAACATCTAGTAACATTCTGCGTTATGCAGATGATACAACCCTGCTTGCTGAAACTGAGGAGGATCTGAAATGCTTGCTGCAGAGGGTCAAGCTTGCTGCAGAGGCTCAAGGCCTGCAGCCTTCAGCATGCATTGAGGCTCAGTGTCAAGAAGACAAAGATTCTCAGCACTGGACCAATTGGCAGCATCAGGATGGATGGTGAAGATACTAAGATTATTAACAACTTTAGTCTGCTTGGCTCCACGGTCAACACTCTTGGTACCAGTAGCCAGGAAATCAAAACATGTATTGCCATGGGAAAGTCTGCTGTTAGGGACCTCTCCAAAGTACTGAAGAGCAATGGTGTCTCTCTGGAGACTAAGGTGCGTCAGATACAGGTTATGGTCTTTGCAATCCCTTGTTATGCATCAGAGAGTTGGACAATGACCAAGGAGGATAGAAGGAGAATTGATGCCTTTGAGCTGTGGTGCTGGAGAAGAGTATGGAATGTACCATGGCTGCCAAGAAAACAGATTCATCCTAGAGAGGGTTAAACCAGGTTGCTCCTTGGAGGCAAGGATTCTGGGGCTTCGTCTGACATACTTTGGACATGTTGTAAGGAAGGTCAGGTCCTTGGAGAGGGACATCATGCTTGGGAGGGTGGAGGGACAGCGCAGGAGGGGAAGACCCTCTGTGAGGTGGATTGATGCAGTGACTGGGGTAATTGGGATGGGTGTGTCAGAGGCAGTGCGATTGGCACACGATAGAGCAGGGTTTAAGGGCTGTTGTACATAGGGTCGCTATGAGTCGCAAGCGACTCAACGGCACATAACAAAAACAACAACATGCTGAAAGAAAAGAATCAGTTATTGACATTGAAAGGGAGAGTTTACTACATTAAATGTTTTTAATTTAACAAATTTTGCTAATTATTTTCTTGGTATACTACATAATGTGAATTATAATTTATGTATTTGAAATACTGTAATGCTTGCTTTTAAAATGCCAATACTTTCTTTTTACTTGTGCAGAATCTTAATCAAAGTAAACTCTAGTTATGGAGTTAATGAATGATAAGTCAATATTCTCTTTAAACTTAGATGGTTGCAGATATTCTTCCCCAGCATTCTCCTTCATTGCACCAATCACATAATATTTTATATGCCATAAATAGGGAAAATAGTTAACAAGTGTTCTTATGAAACTTACGGCTCTTAAAACCATTTCCCTTCAGACAGAAGCTACAAGATTGGAAACATCAAATAGAATTTTAAAGAAGAAAATAAATGTAAGTTTTCTGTGAATCTTTGTATATTACTACACACATTTCCTCTCGAGTATGTTTCTTCTGTGTCATTAAATAAATCAGAATATATATGTTGTTTATTTAAATGATGATTTTCTGCAATGACAAGGGTAGCTTGTGATGCAGCCATTAGCGTATTACTGAATACATTTAAACAAATATAATAATAATAAAATGTAAACATTCTAAGTTGCTGAATATGCTAACCAGAATTTAAAATTTCTGTATACTATGCACATTACAAGTAATTGTATAATACTGAGTCATACCAAGGATTAGTAAAAAAACCCAACAAATCTGACTTTAAGAAAGTGCAGCTGGGTAGAGTACAACTTTAGAGGTCAGGACAGTGAAACATTGTCTCATACTTTGAGCATGTTTTCAAGATGCGACAGTCCTTGGAAAAAGACATCATACTGGGAAAAGTGGAGGGTCAGAGAAAGAGAGGAAGACCTTCAACGAGGTGGAGCGAGACAGTGACTGAAAAATGGACTAGCACGATGAAGATTGTGAGCTTGGCTCTGAGGAGGGCCGGGTTCTGATCTGTTGTTTAGAAAGTCACTGTGGGTTATAGTTGACTCGGCAACTAACAACAGTTGAATGATCAGGCAGCAAAGAACAGGATAAACTTGCTCCTCTCACTTGCTCCTTCCATGATGTTCAGGAGACCTCTTCGAAACACACCAACTGCTAGTTGTTCTGATATATAATATGTAATAATAATAATGTAATACATAGTATTTATTCAACAAATTCTGCTTCTATCCTAAAGTGCACCTCTCATATTGTCCAGTTTACAGAATGTGCTTTACTGTGCTTTTGACCAGGCTGTACATGACCGAGTGCTTTGTCATTTGTGGCAGGCCATTGAAAAAACCGTGAAGCAAAGCGTGGAGAACAGCAAGCTGAGCAAGATGGAGCGGCAGTAAGGATTGTTTCTGTCATTGGAGATCTCAGTATCAGTTACTCTCAAAGCCACTCATGCAAAGTTAACTGGTCCCCTTATTAGTCCAGAATGGTAACAGAAAATGCTACTGTATGTGCCACATCTTTTCCTGTTCTTATTAATGCTTAGTCCAAGGCTTAGCCCTCAACGTGCTGGCAGTAGTTAGCAACAATGAAACAAATTCTTTAGAAAAAGTAGGAGGATTGAAGCCAAGTTCAGCTGGAGCAGTGTCTTTGCTCCCTACTGTAACGAAACATGACAAAGTGGTGCCTTTAAAGAACAGAAATTACTGACTGTGGTTCTGAAGGATAGAAATCCAAGAGGAAACCTTAGACCCGTGGTCTCTCTGCCCCAACAGAAGACCCTTCCTGATCTCATCTAGCTTTTTGATACTCCTTGGCTTTGAGAATTCAGTTTACATGACTGTATTCTCTACCTGTGGTGGTGTGGTGATTAAAGGCTGAACTGTTAATGAAAAGGTAAACAGTTCGAACACACCAGCTGCTTGATGGGAGAAATATGTGCTCTTGTGCTCTCAGGAAGATTTGCAGCCTTGGAAACTTAAAGGCCATCGTTTCGATCCTGTAGTCTCACTGTGTGTGGGAATTGGCTCCATGACAATGCTCGGTTGGTGTCTCTGTGGCTTTACTTTAACAGGACACCAGTCACAGAAGAGCAGTATCCACCTTGCTCTAATATGACTTAAATGATCTTAAATAAAAGACGATGTTTAACAAAATAACCTCATTTCACAGGTACAAGGGCTATGACCACACATATATTTGGGGGGACACAATTCAGCCCATGTCGTTGTTAGGTGCTGTCGAGTGGAGTAGAACGCATAGTGATCCCATGGATAGCAGATTTGAACTCTGCCCTATCCTGTGCCATCCTCATCTCTCACGCCTATGGTTACAGTCAGTGTCAGTAGATCTTATTAAGGTTCTTCCTGGGTTTTGCTAACCCTCAACCTTTCCAAGCATAATGTCCCTTTCCAAGGAATACCCCTTCTTAGCAACATACCCAAAGTGTGTGAGATGAAGCTTTGCAATCCTTTCCTCCAAGGAGCACTCCAGCAACACTTTCTTCAAGACATACCTACTTGTCCTCTTGACAGTTGATGGGATATTCAGTGTTGTTGTTGTTGTTAAGTGCCATTGAGTCAAGTATGACTCATAGCAACCCCGTGAACAACAGATCTGAGCCCTGTCCTATCCTGGGCCATCTTCACAATCTCTGACACACTTGAATCTGCTGCTGCAGTCACTTGTGTCAATCGATTTCACTGTGTGTGTGGGGGGGTGTCTTCCCCTCTTTCACTGACCTTCCACCTTTCCAAATATAATGTCTCTCTTCCAAAGGATCAGCCTTTCTGTTCCACATGCACAGAGTATGATGAGACGAAGCTTCCCTCTCCCTACCCCCAAGGAGCACTCTGGTTACACTTTTCCCAAGTCTGTCTGTTCTCTGGAGTCTATAGGATATTTAGTGCTCTTCTCCTACACCACAGCTCAAAGGTATGAATTCTTATTCTATCATCTTTTATCATTGTCCAGCTCTCAGAGGCTTGAAAAGACTATGACCTGAATTAGACGCACCTTAGTCTTCAAATTAATGTCACTGCTCTTCAGTATTTTGGAGAGGCCTTTGACAGTGGACTTGCCCAGTGCAATACATCTAATCTCGTGACTACTGGTACCAAGGGTGTTGATTGTGAATCCAAGTGAGATGAAATTGTTGACAGTTTCCATCTTTTCTCTATCCATCATGACATTTCTATTGGTCCAGTTGTTTTTTAGGTGCCAACAAGTCAAGTATGACTCATAGCAAGCCTATGAACTAAAGATCTGAACCCTGTTCTATCCTGTGCCATCCTCACATTTCCTGGCACATAAAAACCCATTGCAGCAGTCAGTCTACCTGGTCAAAGGTCTTCCTCTCCTTTGCCAACTCTCTACCCTTGAAAGCACATTGTTCCTGTCCAAGGAATAACCCGTCCTAGCAACATGCCCAAGGTATGTGAGGTGAAACCTCATCATTCTTGCCTCCAAAGAGCACGCTGGGTGGCCCCACCAAACCATATCTGTTTGCTCTTTCGACAGTCCATAGGATGTTCAGTGCTCTTCTCATTCTTTATATTTGCAATGATTTATACATTACAAATGCTTTTTTGTTTTACACAAATGATGAGTTTACACATGGATCTCACCTGATGGGCTGCATAGTTATCAGATTGCCTACATTTGTGGAAGAAATTGTTGGAGAAGCTCAATATCAGCGGGCAAAACTAGGCCAGGGGCAGACTGTGGATCACACCATCAATTACTCACGTGCAAGCTCAAATTGAGGCTGAGGAAAATTAAGATAAGGCAAGTTCTAATTGAGGGTAAAGAAAATGAAAGAAAATAAGTCCACAGGAAGCAAGATACCAATAGCATCAATTCCACCTGAATTTCAGAATCATTTTAGGAATCGGTTTGAGGCGTTGAACACCAGTGATCTAAGACCAGATGAGTTGTGGGATGACATCAAAGATATCATCCAAGAAGAAAGCAAAAATTCATTACAAAAACAGAGGAGAAAGAAAAAATTGAAATGGATGTCCGAAGAAATTCTAAACATTGGTCTAGTAGTAAATTTAATTTTTAAAATTGTATTTGATTTATATACACTCTTTGTTGGGGTTTGGTTTTTTATTCCCATGCTCAGATGCAATCCATATAGAAGGCTATCATCTTCTGTAGTTTCAAGTCCACACTTTCAGCAAGCAAGATTGTGTCATTTGCATAATGCAGATTGTTGATGAGACTTCCTCCGATCCTGATACTATATTTGTCTTCATAGAGTCCAGCTTCTCAAATGATCTGCTCAGAGTATAGATTGAAAATATGGAGAAAGGATACAGGCCTGCTACACACCTTTTTATATTTTAAATAGCATTTTGGTATAGATACAGGTTTCATATGTGCACAATTAGGTGTTCTGGGATACTCAACAACAACAACATGAGCATACTTAAGTGTTCTGGGATGCCCATTTTCCCCAATGTTAGCCATAGATTTTTGTGATCTACACAGTCAAATGCCTTTGCTTAGTCATAAAACACAGATAGACATTCTTTTTGTATTTCTCTGTTTTCAGCCATTTGACATCAGCAAAGGTGTTCCTGCTGCCACAACCTTGTCTAAACCCCACTTGAATTTCTAGCGATTCTCTGTTACTGTACTGTTCTGTCTGGGTTTTCCAATGATCTTCAGCAATATTATGTTTTTATGTGATATTCATGATATTGTTGAAGAGTTTCCACATTCTGTTGGATCACCTTCCTTGGGAATGGGAACGAATAAGGATCTCTTCCAGTCAATCAGCAAGCAGCTGTCCTCTGAATTTCCTGTCATAGACTGGTAAGCATGTCCAGGGCAGCATCTGTTATTTGAAACACGTCAATTTGATGTTCCATCAGTTCCTGGGAACTTATTTTTTGCCAATGCCTTCAGTGCAGCCCGAACTTCTTTCATCACCATTGGTTCCTTTTATATGGTGCCTCCTGGAATTTTTTCAGTGTCAGCCAATCCCTATAGGTACAGTGAGGGACATTGAGCACTCTCATCTAAAATCACAATTTAAAGGCATCAAGTCTTCTATCATCGTTGTTCATTGTCTCACTCTCAGATGCATAGCAAATGTTTGAAAGGGACATGGCCTGATTCAGGTACATTTTAACCTTTAAACTGGCATCTTTGTTCTTCAGTAAGAGTAGGAGAGGTTTCTGACTGTAGGTTTGCCCAATGTAACTTCTAACTTTTTCTAACTGTTGGTAACAAAAGTTCATTGTGGATCCAAGTAAGATGAAATTGTTGATAGGTGCAATTGTTCTTCTGCCTACTAAAATTGTCCAGTGCTGAGGACTTTTGGGCTTTTCTGTTCACATTGTGTTTCATATGATCATTCCCATGCATGTGCCCTACAAAATTAATCACCACTGATCAATGTCTACTAGTAGTCTGTCTTTTCAGATCCCCACTGGATCTTTCCAGATTCCTTCACTCCCCCCCCCTGCCCCCACCAAACCATGTGGCTCTGTAATATCCTACACATGCCCTCAGCTACCCTGCACGCTTCCCCTCCCTCTTTGGATATCCACACACTTCTTACTGGTTATCCTTCTATTTTTACAATAATGACTTTATACAGTATTTGCCTTTATGACCCTGAGTGAGTTCACTCAGCAAAATGCTCTCTAGTCTCTCCCATGTTACACAGTATTTTTTCAAATTCACTGCTCCTGAGTGCTGCATAGTATTCCATTGTGTGAATATACCAAAATTTCTCAATCTGTTTGGTTGTACATTTGAGCTTTTCCATGTTCTTGTAATGGTAAATAATGCTCCTATTAACATTGGTGTACAAATCTCTATTTGTGTCTCATTTTTAAGTACCTTGGTATATATTCCTAGTGACTCTGTATACTCCTATCTTCTATAAAAGCTTCTTGGATCATTCAGTATTCTGCCCACTGCATCCTTAAGCATTGAAACGTGAGGCTTGTATTTGTTTTTTAGTTCCTTGAGCTTAAGAAATGCCAAGCAAATTCAGCTCTTTTTATTTTCAGACTCCAGTTCTTTGCACACTTAACTTTAATACTTTGCTTTGTCTTCCCATGCTGTTGTTGTTGTTGTTATGTGTCGTCAAGTCGTTTCCGACTCATAGCGACCCTATGCACAACAGCCCTAAACCCTGCTCTATCCTGCACCAACTGCACCGCCTCTGACACACCCACCCCGATTACCCCAGTCACCGAATCAATCCCTCTCAGAGAGGGTCTTCCCCTCCTGCGCTGTCCCTCCACCCTCCCAAGCATGATGTCCCTCTCCAAGGACCCGTCCCTCCTGGCAACATGTCCAAAGTATGTCAGACGAAGCCCCAGAATCCTTGCCTCCAAGGAGCAGCTTGGTTTAATCCTCTCCAAGATGGATCTGTTTG